AAAGAGGGGCTAACGCGAGATGATCTTGGACCCCCTCCTCCCCCTCTCTTGTGCTTTTCCGTCCAACCTCCCCCACTCACTGACCCCACGTCAATCATCATGAAAGATGAGTCCATACGTGTGAACAGGAGAAGCTCCAGTGTTACATGTGACTGACAGAAAATGGCTGGGCTTTCCCTGAACTGGGTAGTCAGTCAGATAGGCCCCTACCCCGTGGAGAGCTGGGGATTCACTTGCATTCCGTTTGTAGGCTCAGGTACATGCCAACATGAGACGCCCCATGGCCCAAGATGGGACGTCGCTGGCTCAGGACCTACTTGACCCAGGTATGCTCTGGCTGCTGCCCCGGGACGGCCGCTCCAGCGGTCCTGGGCCCTTCGTGGGCCACACCTCCATCTGCTGCTGTGAGTGAGTTTCACTTGAATAAGGCGAGAAACACCCAATTTGGGGTAAAAGACTTGAGATTCATTTGCTCTAACTCCGGACATGAGCCGACGGCTACCGACGACCCCAGTCTGCAGGCGGCCACTCCCGGGCTGGTCGTGGTGCTCCTGCGGCCCCTGAGGGCGGTTCTGGTGCCGTGGCCCTGGGCTCTGGCCTGTCCGGGAAACTGGCATCTGCATGTTTGTTCCAGTGGCGTTTTCCTGTTCACCAGGCAAACACGGGAGCCTTAAGCGGATTATCGTCTTGGCTGTTGCTTCTGACAAACACCCTGCAGATGACTTTCTCGTTTTCCTCTGTCAGCTTAGCAATTCCTGGTTCCGGGTTCCCGAGGCCCTCAGTCAGCGCTCACACTCGTCCTTCGCTCCTTTAGAACGGAAACGCTCTGAGCTCGGGGGTTGGCTCAGTCACAGTCAGTGGTCGAGTCTGTTTATCTCATCCGCATTGCATAGTCTCCCAGGTGCCTCCCAATCGCAGATCGTTTTCTAGGCTTTTCGCGTTTGAAAGTGTTTGTCCAAGTAATTTGAGGCCCAAAGTGGTGTTGTCTGTCTCCAGAGAGGGTTCCTTTGCTTCTAACACTTGCTTACTAGCCGTCCAGAGCAGTGGCAGAAATGGGAGCTCTGGCCCTCCCATCCCCCGCCCCCGGCCCCCGGCTCCCCCGGAGGTGGCCCTGTACGGGCCGGCTACTTCTGGTTCATGCTTGTTCTCAGTGCAGCCCTGCAGAGCTCCAGCCTGCAGTACAGAGGGCTCGCCTGGGCAGGGCTGGGCTCTCCCACTGCTCCTCCAGAGGAGACTCTCGGCCAAGGTGGCCCCAAGCGCCGGGTCCCTGGCCGGGTCCACCTGCCCCAGGCCCAGGCCCAGGCCTTGTGCTGGCGACTGCCTGTCCATTGCACTGCTGTGCTCCGGTGCCTTCGGGGTGGTGTCCACTTACTTCACCAGCTCTCGGATTGTCTTCAGGGAAGGGCTGGCCCAGTCTTCTGCCCCCACCACGTGAGAAAAGCAGGAGACAACAGCCTACCTCCATGGCTGTGTGAGAGCAGTGGCCTCTGCAAGAAGCACTTTGTAATGGAGATGACACTGTTCTATTTGCAATTGTTTTCCTTCCTAACCGAGGGCATTGTAGCATCCCTCACGCCTGTATGCTTAGTGACAGGTCTGTTCTTGCTCCATTAGGTGACCTGCCTTTGTTCTCCTCTTGGGAAGTTTTCAGGAAACTGTTCTCACTCTCACTACCTAAGGGTTTCCAGGCTACATCCAGGCCAGTGCGGTCCCTCCTGCGGGCACCGCGGCCCTCTTTGGGTACAGCCCGTGAATGCCCTGAATTACTGCCTAGGCTTTCCCCTCTGCCGGCCTTCTCCTCCTCCTGACGATTGCGTAGGTGTGGTCCCTTGAAGTCTCCTCCGAATTTTAGCTTCGAGAGCCACCACCTGTCTCTAGTGGTGGGTGGGCAGGGCTCCCTGGGCCCCCGCGGCGGTGGCAGCTGCAGGCCAGGGTGTGGTGGGCGATGGAGAGGCCTCTGAGAGGGAATTTCTTTCATTTCTCTGTGGAGCAACTGCTTCCGGAAACACCTTTCTCCGCTAGTAACACACGTACACGCACCTCTGCTGTCCCTTTTATGCGGATGGAGAGTTCCTGCCAGCTGCTAACTGAGTTCCTTTCCCCAGGGGGCCCTGGGAGCCGGGGAGAGACCGGGATGAGCGTCGCTGGAAAGAAAGACGAAGCCCCGCTGGACCCGCAGCTGCTCCAGGGAGCGGCCCCTGGGAGGCCGAGGCCCAGGCCGGCCGGGCTGAGCGGGCGGCAGCTGGCGCTGCGGCGGGGGCTCCTGCTGCTGGGGCTCCTGGCCGTGCTGCTGGCGGGCGTCCTGGTGCGCGTGTGTGTCCGAGCTTAGGGCGGCGGCCGGCCGGTAAGACTTTTGAGCTCACAAGCAAATCAGAGGCCCCGTGCGGATTTGCCTGCAGGTAAGGCAAGTCAGCCGTGCCCCTGGCTTCAAGAACTGAGAGTTCAAAGATGTACTTTCCAAGGAAGAAAATGAACCAAGTGAAAACTAGCTCTAGTCCACGACAATGTCCGAGAAGTCACATCAGAGGGACGTTCATCCCCCACGGCCTCTCCAGGGACCACTGTGCGGACTGCCTTCCTCCTGGCTTTGCTGTTCTGCTCACTGTTTCTTTAGATACAAACCCATGTGCTGAGTGCTTAAGGGCTGCTGCTATCTGAATTATTTAAAATATGTTACAATATATTTTTCCTTGTGTCTTAGATTATTATTCAGTGGGAAACGATACTGTAGATTTTCATCTGGGGTCAGAGCTCAGGCACTGAGGGCCCTGGAGACACGTATGAAACGAAAAGAGGAGACCAGGTTACTCCGAAGGCGGACCAGGCCTGGCGAGGAGCCTCCAGTGAGGAGGGTGGCGCTGAGCGAAGGCCCCCTGTGGTGGCAGCCCCAGAGAGAACGGGCTGGAGGAGCCAGCCAGGGGAGGAGGGCCTTTCAGATTGTGACGGAGGGATGATAACATTGGGGCAGCCCCCACGCAGTGGCGCCTTCACCCGGTCACCCTGCAATCCAGGAGGTGCCTCCTTCGTTTTCTCCCTTCGTTCGAGGTTCCCACAGATCAGGGTGCGGGGCTGCTGTACCTGCTGCTTCCTCCTTCTCCCTCCGCAGTCTTTGCCCAGTGGGCGCTCTCACTGGCATCGCCATGCCATGTGGGGGCAGCGGGGACAGCGGGGGGTGGGGGGGGAGGGGGTGTCGAGCTGGATGCCCTGATGATCGCTGTATCGGCAGGTTTTTAAATGTTTGTCTTTTTATTTGGGCTGACAACGTGGTAAAGCCCCAGAATTGGAGTTGTATTATGTCCGACAGGCCGTCCTTTGCAGCAGTGGTTCCAACCAGCTGCTGAAAGAAGTTTTAAACATGCAGTGCCTGGCTAGTCAGGGCGCTGACCGCTTTCCCCTTCGACTGTCAGGTAAAAAAAATGACAGCAGCCAGCACAGTGCCCTCGGGTGTGAATGAATCACAAGGATACTTTTTTTTTGTCAGATCTGCAATAGATATATTTTCTTGGTGCGCTGCGGACTGTATTCATTAGTTTATGTGCCACGAGATACAGAGGGTGGAAAACCCTGCTCTACAGGGCTGGAGCCTGACCAGGGGTGCCAGTACCTCAGTCTGCTTCCCGGGGGGCGGGCTC